CCCCCCCCCCACCATTATCCCCTTTTGGCAATACCTTCTATGTTCTGTTCGCAGGTTGTCCGAGGACTTGGTTGCGAATTCAGCGTTCAATGAGATTCCGGCGTCCCTCACAAAGTGTCCTTCGATCCACACGGGACCGTGTGCGCACGCGGAGGCGGCGGCCGGCGTCTGTGCGTTCCACGTAGTGCAGGAAAATGGGTCGGGATTGCCTACGGCCAAGTGTGCGAGTGACGCCGAAGTTTCGCTGCCGGCTCTTGGGCCCCTGGCGGCGTTGCTTCCGAGCGGTTCGGACAGCTACGTGTTGCAGACCACACTGGATGGTGAAGTCGCTCTGCTCTTCCACGACGCCAGTGGTGAAACCGTGTTTCTACAGCTAGGACAACTAAAAGACGTACCCGGCCTCGTCAAGACCGGTATCGACTCTTTAGTCGCCCGCCTCGGGCTAGCCGGCTTCACACCTGAACAAAGCATCGCCCAAGCAGAAACATTTTACAACAACGTTCTCCAGGAAGGAGTGCTCATCACCAACGCCCGACCCACCCTACACGCCGAACACAAATGGTTGGAGGAACTTCTCGCAAATAATACAGTCATACCCTCAGACCCAATATCCAAGCTCATCGAACTCGCCTCAAAAATAGTTGTACAAACGTTCTTCTCTTCTTAAATTACTCGGACTACTGAATTCGGACCGTGATATTCAACACCGGATTATTGCACTTGTCAGTGTCACTGATCAACTGCAAGCAGTAGGATATCCCACCAACTCCATCTGTCCGTGTCCGCTGGGTGAACGCGGCTGCGCGAAAGTTGCTGGGTGAAAGGTGGCCCAACGCTTACGGCAACTTGGCCACTGTAGTGGTAGTGGTATCCGGTACCTTCGTCCTTGTAGGCAGGACCTTGATAAATTTCCTTCTCGATCTGGCACCCGACATGGGGTCCAGTGTTGCGCGGAATGCGGAACACATTGTGGGCCAAAGTCTTGTCGGAGGCCATCTTCCTGTTTGTCTTGACCAGGAGTTCGATGTCGTCTTTGCTAGTGTCGTAGCACCAAGTGAACGATTCCTCAAAGTTACCGCAAGAACCAGCGTCCTTAAGAGTTTTGGACCGCTTCATAGATCCTCCGTAGGTAATGTCAACATAGGGGTCGGTGGTGTTAAGTTCCACCGAGTGGGGAAGGCCGTCCACACGGTGCACAGTTACAGTCAAAGTCTTAGTGCTCATCTAGTGCTCAAAAAATTCCAGAAGACACTAATTCCGGCGGTACGTGGGAGACAGTCCCAAATGAAGGACACCACGCATATCCGTCTCTGCTAATGTTCACTACAACGAAACCCCCATGCGGCCACCACAGCTTTTCCGCACTACTCACGTTAAAACACGCACCAAAGTACTGAAGCAGACGCAACTCATCCGACAACAACATGTGCACCACTGGCTCCTCGCTCTCACCCTCAGGACCGAAAACATCCTCCGGGAACATCTGAGGGTATCCGGTCGTTCTGCAACACACAGCAAAATAATGGCTTGGGGGGGAAAGGTGAGGGGGAAAGGTGAGGGGGAAAGAAAGGGAAAGGTGCAGATTACATTTCAGACATGGAGAGAGGCAGATAGGTTGTGAGCGTTTCTTTGAATACGTCCAGAGACTCATTCAACGAGATACTCACGGTGGGGCCTGCTGGAGCCAAGCCGGCTGCATACCAGTAGGTGGGTTGGCCCAAAATCCCTTCTACCTTCTAAGGAACGATGCAAATGTATCGGAACGACGCAAGTGTGTTGGAACGACGCAAGTGTGTACAAGGCATATTGTGTGTATGCTCTTACGTCATAGCATTGTCCCAGCCACCGTGCGGTAGCCCTAATTTGCTTTCTTCCTATGTCCGTGAGTCCCTGGTCTTCGTGATCGAAGCGGTTGTGTCCAGTGCGAATGAGGACCACTTGCTTGGGTGGGGTGGTGCCGCGGATGAACTCGAGTCCGCCTGGATCTGCACCGGCGCCGATGCCGGCGGCATTCTCAGCGGGGTACTGGCCAAGGCTGCCGGGGTACTGGCTGTGGGGGATGGCGCCGTGTGGACTGCCTCGTGCGTCAGTGTGTGCAGATTCGGGAGAGAAGGTGAGCGTGTCCAAGTCTTCCGTAACGAGTGTGGCGCCGGCGTCGGCTACGATTCCAAAGGGTGTGCCGCGCACGTCGAGGCCTAGCGGCAGCACGGCTGCGTGCGGCACATTCAGTTGGGGCATGGCACACTTGTTTATGCCGGTGAGGTGTAAGAAGGCGAGCTTGAGCAGGTTGCTGTGCAACACGGCTACATGGTGCGTGGTACCGCGTTCGATGGCGGGCATTTTTGCCCGCGCATGTCCGAACGAGACCCCCAAAATCCGAGTCCATGCGCCCGAGTCTGTGTGTGGAAACCGAAATGCCTGCAATAGCGCAGCGCTGCCCTGCGCACTTTCCGAGTCGAGTCGCGGGTCGCCAACACAGTCCGCAGTGTTCACACCACGAGCGAGCCCACCACCACCCAGTCGCATGACGATGGGCCCCTGACCGCGAAGTGCGGCTTCCACCAGTCCCAGCTTCTCCGGCAAGGTCTGGATCTCCTGCGCCGCAAGCCTCGCCACGTCGGGAGGGTCAGTTTCGCAGGCAGCGGCGAAGACCGGGTCGAAGGCGGGCACGGCGACCAGCGGTAGCTTCCGCACAGTACGTCCTCGGTCGCGGTTCAGGTAGCCCTGGATTTGAGCCGCACTTCGGGCTAGTCGCGGTCCCGAGGCGACTGCCTCCAGCGAGTGCGAGTTGCCAGTCAATTTTTTCAGCAGCGCACCTACCATGAGCGCCTGGCAGTCCTCGACCACGGGTTGTGCGCCGTCACAGAGTGGCGCACATAGCAACAGACTGCGCAGCGCCATCGGCTCTGCGTTCCACTGGAAATTCGCCGGCGTCCTGGGATTGCTTGCCAGACAATTTCCGTCCTGGTTCGTCTGACCATTTGTGTGGAATCGGCCAATTGTAAGGAAGGTAGCCGACTCTTCCTCCGGTGCCGGGTGCAGACAGAGTGCTGTCACGCGCTGCCACCAAGTCTTGTGTGTCTGGGCGGACAGGGCAGCCAGCACGCGTGCACGGACACTGTTCGAAAGCAATTCCGTGCCACCTGTACCCCCCGGAGTCGCCACAATGGTCATCTGTCCCACACCCGGCCGCTGACCCTCAGCCAGCACCGTGCCACCGCACACAAGTCGTTCACGCACACACGGGCGGACCACACTTTGCAAACGCTCAACCAACTCACGCCCATGCACAGGACACTCTGGTAACAAAGTCCAGGTTGATAACCCACACGAATTGACTTCCAATACTACACGGTCCTCCCGCACACACCGAATACCGCAACGCCGGAAAGGTACCGTCATGTTCTTTATCTGGATCACACCCAGACTCCAATTTATAACCACATTCACATCTTCACGTGTCGTGGCTACCACGTCCACACTCGTCCCGCTCTCGTTTTCTCGGGAAGACGGAGCCATCGGGCTCCATACCCGACCCAACCTCGCTGGACTCAACCTTACGGCGGTCGATCCCACGCCGTTCGACCCTACACCGTTTGGACTCCTGGTACTCAAATTTCTGATAATTCTGCCGGTCATATTCCTGGTGGTCTGACTAATGTTCCTGGTAGTCAGTGTCGTAGTGGTCAGAGTCGTAGTCGGACTTATACTGGTCAGAGTCGTAGTCGGACTCGCGGCCGCAGTCAACCCCACCGCACCCTCGGCCCCCGGTTGGTCAAACCTCCCGGCCCCATCACCATCACCATCCAAGAAGCCTGAGTCGATCCTCAGAGCCGACTCCGTGGCCGTCTGCATTTCGCGTGTGTCCGAGACTAATTCCGGGCGCACAAATTCCGGCGAACCGAAACTGTCACGGTAGTCATGCGCGCCTACCTCCGGCGACCTACCGACCGCCCCAGTCCTTGCGCCCTCCTCCCCGTAATCGTAACTCGCCTCACCTACCTCGGAAGACTCCGCCCGGGATGAGGCCGCCCGGGATGAGGCCGATGGAGCGAAGGCCGATGGAGCGAAGGCCGATGGAGCGAAGGCCGATGGAGCAGGCGCCGACGGAACGGAGGCCAAGGAAACCGAGGCCGATGGTGAAGAGGAGTTCTCGTCCTCCGCCGCCCGCTCCAGTCTCACTGGTCCGACTCCTGACAAGTCGGCTCTGGACAACTCGTTCGGAGAGAGGTTGTTTGCAGCAGCCGTCGGGGCATCTGACTCGCTGGGAACAGCTGACCGGGCTGCAGCAGGAACCGTGAGCCCCTCACTATGGAGAGATTCCGAGTTACTCAATGGTGCCTCGAACTCACCTGCGTATCGGGCAGCATCGTTCGGGTCACTCATACAGTCACTCTCAAAGTCACTCTTAAGGTTTCCAGCGGACCCGTAGGGGCCGTCCAATTTCGCACTCAGGTCGTCTAAGCTGAGACTTCCCGATCCCGGTCGCAGGGGGCTTCCCTCCAGATGGTTTTCACCACGAGAAGGCAGTGCGAGACTGGAGTAGCCGCTTCTCGAAGATAGTCGCGGGGGCTCCTGGTCACTCTTGCTACTTTCCTCGAACGTTTCTGAGCCGGCTGCTGAGTCGGTCGGCGTGCGGTTAACCCGCTGGCTGGCTTCCATTGCTGGGCCATTACTGCCACTACTGACCATTTCATCCGGATCTGTGATTCCGGCAGGGATATCCCGGCCGAAAGGGATATTCCCACGGTTCGATACCCCGTCTTCGCTTCCGTCCTTCGGCCCTGAGCAGTCTTGGACGAGACCCGAGCACTCTTGGACGAACTCGGTAGATTCGGCGTCTGACACGGCACTCTTATGAGCCAGCCTCGGGGACCGGGAAGTTTTGTCTGTCCCGAGAACATTAGAGGCCATTGAGCCAGACATCTCCTCAGACATTAAGTTCGATATTAGGTTCGGTACCCGTCCGGCTGCGTCATCAAACCTGAGATCTGGCATTACGAGCGAGCCTCGGCTGTCTTGATTATTTGGACTTCGAGAGTCGTCAGAAAAGTCATTGGTCATAGTCCCCGAATCATTGAAGCTTCTGGTATCGAATCTCTCTCTTGCAGGAGTACTTGTTCGCATTGTATCAGTTTGCATGCTGTCTGTTCTTATAGTATCTGGTGACACGATGACAAGCATTCGGGTAGAATCCGGTTTTGCAGAGTCCCGTCTTGTTCCCCCGTCGGGTCGTGTAAAACTTCGTGGAGTTTCCGGTGGATGTTCGATCAGGCTCCCGGTACTGGTAGTGCGTGGCCGATTCCCCACAGGGGTCATGGTCTAAAAAAGCATTTCGAATTTTAATGGACTTCCCTGGTGGTCCGACCAGCGCAGTAAGAATACAAGAAAGACAGATCTACTCTCTTCAGCCGGTGATCATATTTGACTGGGACGACACTTTTCTGCCCACAGCGATATTAAGAGCTCTAGCATTTGTACCTGACAGTTCATTATTGGAACTGGAATTTGATCATCAGAAGTGAGCACACTATCACCCGGGAATACGACGATGGGCCGGGACTCTGGTCGGTCGGTGGCTCTGGTTGGGCGAAGGGTTCTGTGCGAGGTACTCTGGGATGAACGACTCTGGGGGTGAAGGGCTCTAGGTGGGAGGTACCGGTGAATGCGCAGATATGATTTCCACTTGGTTGAGGACTCGGCCATAGAAACTATTAGAACCGCAATGCGGCTGTCTGCTAACATTCTCCTGATTACGAATGGGTCGAACACTTGGATCCAGGCATCCTGCAAGCAGTACCTGCCGCGGTTATGGCCGGTTATAGAGTGTTTGCCACTGGTGTCTGCGAAAGACATGGCGGTTGAACAGCATAAAGACCCCATCGAGTGGAAGAAGGTAGCTTTTCGGGACGTATTGGATCGGTATTTCGAGGAACGTCCTAGTGCCGTGCGGGTGGTCGTGTCCATCGGGGATTCGTTGCACGAGCAGCTGGCGCTATTCCACTACCAACGGGAGAGGCCGGAAGTGAGTGTGCGGTCGATCAAGTTTATCCCGATGCCCGACTCCGCTCGGCTGGCGCTACAGCACAAGGCGCTCTGTCAACACTTACCCGATATCATGCATCTGGCGCAGGCCTGGAAAACGGTGGACCTGCGCTACTTCTTCACCATGACCCCTTCCCAGACGACAGAAGAACGAGTGATGGAACTAGCCAACCGCGACCTGCGCGAAAACGAAGACCTGCAAAGGGGCGGACCCCTGCCCGGAAACGACGACCTACACGACATCGGCTCCGAACATGAAACCGTGGCCGATGACGAAGAAACGCGGCTCATCTACGGCCCTCTCAGCGGTGGACCCAGTGCCAAGGAGTGTTCTATCTATGGCTCCGGAGACGCCGCCTTCGGCTGGGTCAACGGCACCTCTTTACAGGACCAGGTGCTCCTCCTTGCGAACGAACGGCAACTACACGCCAGCCGGAGGGGGGACGGCGACGAGAGCCCCCTCGCACCTCTAAGCGCCCGCGCCAGCTCCCTCTCCGGCGACGACACGCGTTCCAGCGTCATGGGCATCCTCCTCGACTCCGCCACCAAACAGTGGGGGAAGATCTTCGGACCGGTCCAGGAAGAACAAATCACCTGCTGGGCCCGCAGAGTCTCCGACGGCAACCCCTTCCTCATGCTACTCGACTCCTTTTGACGCGGCTCCTTTCGCCCTCGACTCCGGCGGCCCACTCCTTCGACTTCTCGTTCTGCCTCCTTCGTTTGGCAGCCGCCTTTCTTTTAACCACACTTTTTAAGCACACTGCTTTCCAGCCACGCTGCTTTTCAACCAGGCTGCTTTTCTACACCACTATTTTTCCCACCACTAGTTTTCAGCCGCACTGCCTTTTCGTCACATCCATCTGACGCAACCCCTCGCGTACATCAGTCACCGTAACCGGCGACACACGCGTGTCTTCGCCGTTACTCAGTTTCACACGAGCCACTTGCTGCAAACACATCAGTTACCTGGCCACGGCCCTGTGTCCCTCTGACCCCGAACGGGACCCTGGGGCCCTGACCCCGAGATAACTTACCATCAGAGCCTCCGTCAGGAGAGTGTCGGCCAGCTGGCAGAACAAGTCGAAAGTCGGCACCACCACCATGGAGGCGCCGGGGAGCACTTCCTTTAGGCACTGGTCCGGGTACGGGTTGATCTCATGGCAGAGCGAGAACATCGGGTTGTTGTTTGCCAGCAACAAGGTAGCCATTTGGTCCCGGGGGATGCGGTTGTACTCGCGCCAAGTCATCGGCGGCGCTGGACCCAACTCGCGAATTATCGAGGCTCCCTTCGGACGAACACGCGGAACCACCGGCTCCGGAATCGGCGCCGCCACCCCCGCCGCCTCCTCCTCGCCGCTGCGACCCAGACGCGGCTCCGGCCTCTTGTTCAAGTTTATGTGCAACCCGGAATACACTCCTTCAACTCCTACCAAATCATACAATGGCCACCACCCAACTACTCACCAAACAATGCAGGCAGATAGCTCGTTGTCATGTTGCGATCTAGAACCATCATCATGTCCTCGCGCTTTCTGCAGTCTTCAACCTGCGCCAGAACCCCCGCGGCTTCCATGCGCTTCTTTCTGTTCCCGCTGTCATTCACATGCAACGCCAAAATCTGGGCTGCAGATCCCTGCAGTTTCAGCAACAACATCTGGTGTTCTGAATTGGATCCGTTGTTGGCCTCTGCATACATAGTTCCACTAATTAAAAATCGAATTATTTGTGATTGTGTTTCTGCTGAGGACCAGAACCAGTCAAGAAGTACTGCTTCGCCTGCTGGATGCACACACCCTGGTGCAATCTGTACCCGTCCGGACAGTCCAACACATAGCTGGCCACCTTGCTCTTGGAGCACTGCCCGTCGGTACCAAGAACGTAACCCTTCGGGCAAGAAAGCTCTGGTGTGGTCGTAACCGTCTCCTCACACCAACCGTGCTTCTCCACGGACCCCGCTGGACAGATCGCCTGCGGAGACACGTGGCTGTATTTCAAACAATTCATGCCGTCGTGCTTGTAGCCGCCAGGGCAACTCACAGAAGGCGAAGTCAGGTCGGCAACCAAACACATGCCATTCACGTCGAGCGTTCCCTTCTTGCACGACAGCTCAGGCAAAATAGTTTCAATTTGGTTCGTGCACTGCGCAGTCACAGCCTTTTCTTTGACTATGGCCACGCACACAGTGTCCTCCAGTTTGTAACCCTTAGGGCATTCGATCGTCACGTCCTTTACGAACTGCTTGAAACACCCGCTCTCAGTGGGGTCATAGTGTTCTGGACACTTACGCAAAGGCGCGATCACTTCCTTAATTGCACAGGTCTTCTTGTCATCCAGCACGCCCTCGTTGCAAGTCAGAGCAGCAGGAACCTTGTCCCACGTAATGCAGCGACCGTTGATGTTGTTGGAACCCTTGTCACACACGATCTGCGGCTGAGTCGTTTCCACCTTCTGGCACAACGTACCGACTAGATCAAAGCCCTTGGGGCATACGATCGAAGGTTCGGTGGCAATTTCAATTTCACAATTCTTTCCTTTCAATGATCCTTCAGGGCAAACATAATCCGGATGCTGTTTCTGGTAAGCAGAACACATAGTTCCATCAGCCTTATAGCCCTTCGGACAAGATATTTTGAAGTCTGTCTTCTCTGTCTTATAGCATTGATTGTTCTTATGCTCGTATCCGTGGGCGCATGAAACTTGAGGATTGGTAGATTCCTTCATTAGGCATTGCTTCCCGGAAATAATGTATCCGGGAGGGCAAACATAATCTTTTTCCTCACACTTGTTAACTTTATAACATGTATCGCCATCATGCTTATATCCCTTGGGGCAAACGCGGTCGGGGCTGTAATAGTCTGTCTTGGCACATCCAGAGCCGTTGTTAACATGTCCTTTAGGGCAGTCCATCACAGGCTGCACTGTTTCCGCCACTTCGCACTTTTTGTTTCGAGGAACTGCATTCGCTGGGCAAACAAAATCAGCGGGCGACTTGGCAATCTGAATGCACATTCCCCGATCGTAAGTGGCCCCTTTCGGACAAATGGTGTTGGGCGCTGCGTAATCAACCCAAATACAAGCAGTCCCGTTGTCAACATATCCTTTCGTACAAGAGGCAATAGGAGCGACTAAAAGAAGAAATAACTGACAGGAAGTATAGTAAACTAACCAGTCTCCAAGGCTCCATTGGCGTTAGCAAGTTGAACAGCAAAAATCGAGGTCGACGCGATCAATGACCTCATCTTAGGGTTTTATAGCGCGCGCGTGTTTGTATGTATCGCGCGCAAACACTTGAACAATAAAATCATACGCAGTTAAACCCTGACTTCTGCTACGTCAACTTGATAATTCAAACGGCATGTCGTATAGTATCATCATACGTCTTGGTTACTTTTTCTTCTGAGCGTTTTCAGCCAACTGAACGATTTTAGTAGTCTCCTTCGCGTAGTTAACGTTTATAGGCCTGCCGACAAATTCATTGCCGTTTAATTTGCGCATGGCTACAGTAGCAGCACTAATGTCCTTGAACGATACCCAGGCTTGGCCGCGAAGAGTTGCGGTTTGCTTCACATGAACATTCACGATTTCGCCGAAGGGTATGAACAATTCGAAGAGCAGGCTTTTCATTTCATTGTAGTGGACTTTGTCGTCAAGGTTGGAGCAGTGAAGAGTCCGATTCGGAGGTAATTCATCTGCTGTATTTTTAGATTCCATAATTTACTTGTATGGCGCGTCAGAAGCCCTCCGCTCCCCAGCATATAGAGAAAAAGGAACCAACGAAGGAAGAGTCGGAAATAGAGGATATAGAAAGCTTAAGCGACGACGAAGACATCCCCGAGGGCAGTCCCGATGAGCTGTGCGGTCAAGGCCAGATTTTAGAAAATGCGAATCAGTTGGACGATGCAATTCAGTATTTCGAATGGGCCGTTAGAAAGAAGTCAGTTACCATCTCCCGATGGCTTTGACGTCAACACCTCGATTTATGGCCGTACAGCTTGAGGTCTTGCTTGCTTGTTATCCTGCATCTGTCTTAGGGTAATCGAATTATCGGAAAATGCCGATCCCGCGACCGCTGAATTGATGCCTGAAATGGGCATTTACTGGCTTAGGTACGGAGATGCTTTATTTTCGCGGTTAGAAGCGAGCGATGAGATTTTCGGAGTGGAGAAACCTGATAATGAGGCTTCGGGTGAAGAAGATGACGATGCAAAATTAGCATGGGAAGCAATGGATACAGCCCGAGTCTGCTTTGACCAATTGTTAGCAAGGTAAGCCGCCTTGGTCCGGTTCGGATATGATGTGGATCTACAGTCCCGCATTTGTAGTCGAAATTATTGTCGTTTGTTTCAGTGGTTCGTTTGTGAAGGCCGAGAATCCGAGATTGGACAATTTGGCGTCTTGGCTGGATTGGGCCGTAACGCAGGGCACACCTTGGGTCCAGCACGAATTTGATGAAGCGACTTCCAAGGCCTTGCGTGCTATGGCCTACTGCCGAGTGCGACTGGGTGACTTTAAGATGGGGTTCCAGGTCTACGAACAGGCTGTCGAAGAGTTTGCCTCATCCGTTAAAATATGTGCAGAGTATGGCCTTTCATATGCGAAGGGCTTGGAGGCCGCCCTTCCGTTGGCACAATGCCTCATGGCACTACAGTCACCTCAGAGCGTTCCGGCGTTCAAAACCTGTCTGAAACTTATTGAGGCAGAGAAGTCCCAATCGACCTTGAGTCCGGAAAGGGCCACCCTGCTTGACCAGACGTATGAAGATTTAAGCAAACAACTGGAAGAGTACGAATCGGTTAAAGGCCACATTGGCGAGACGCTCAAGGAAGCAGTTGAACATGTGCAGGGAGGCTTTGCCGATGAGGAACCCCTTCCGCAACCGGATCCAACGGAACCGGTGCTGGATCTTGGCGTTGTATCCAAGCGTCGGCGGAAAGAGAACGACCAGCAGTTCGGTGAGGGCCGTTTAAAGGAAGAACTGCCAGACCGTTTAAAGGAAGAACGGCAAGACCGTTTAAAGGAAGAACGCCAAGACCGTTTAAAGGAAGAACGCCAAGACCGTTTAAAGGAAGAACCCTTGAAGGAATACCGTTCAAAGGAAGACGGCTTGAAAGAAGACCGGTTGAAGGAAGAACGCTCAGACCGCCCTAACGGGGTATCGGCGACGGAAGAGCGAGTGAGTAGTCCGGGTGGTGCAGCCAGCGCAGTTCCGGCCAAGCACAGCCCGGGAGAGGGCGGTTCCTCAGGACGAAGCACTACTGAGGGAAGTGCTGCTGCTGCCGCTGCCGGAGCTGGAGCTGCTGGTATAGCTGGAGCTTGAGGAGGCGGAGGACAGTGACTCTTCGCTGGCGAGCGAGGCAGAGCTGGAGGCGGAGAAGCTCTCTTCGGAGAGAGACCGGTAGGTGTCTTCGGAGTAGAAGGAGGAGGGCGAGGAACTGCTTCGGGACGAGGAACCAGGACTGGCGGCAATGGCCTGGCGCACGGCTTCAGTGATCGACGTGGGCTTGTCTTCCGTCTTGTCATGTGCTTCCGAGCGGCGCATGCTCGGCGGCCGCGGAGGATCGATGTTGAAAAAGTCTTTGTTAGCTAGGGGATTAATGATTGTTTTAGCCTGATCAATCAAATCGATTGTTTCGAACACCTCATTGGACCGTGGAGATAACGGCGGTACGCGGGGTTTCTCGACCCTTAGGATTTGCTGCGAAAGCAGCAGTTCTTTCAGCATCCCACGCAGCCGGTGCGCACTCGCCAACTGCATCGATGCCACCTCATCAATCCATCGGTGCACCCATCGCGCTTCGGCCAAGGTGGCTTCGTACCACTCGCTCTTCAGCTGCAACTCGTCTAAGCTCGGCGGAAAGGTCCTTGCTTTCTTCTCCAAAGCGCTAAAGGACGTGCCTTGCGCCCCCTGTTGTTCCTCGCCAGTCCCCGAGTCCTGAATGCTCGGCAGCTGCTCATAACTCCGCGCCCACGCCGAGTAGGACTTAACCACCGTAATGCCTCGCGACCGGAGCACACCCGGGAGCGCATACATAGGGCGCGCAATGGCTTTGATGTAGTCATCGTCAATCACTGCGTTGAGTGTGTCCACCAAATGCGCAAACGTCGCGTTCACTGAAGAAATACTCGTGTCTCGGCAACGCAGCAACTCCTGGTCCAAAATCTTGAACGACGAGTCAACCGCACCCAAGAGCAACTTGATGAGCTGATGCATATGGACCGCCACACTCCCCGACACCTCACTGAGACGCTGAAGTTCGTCTTTGGCCGCATTCCGCTTAGCCATCTCTGACCCGTTAATCTCGTACTCAATGCGATCCCATGCCGTGGCCAAGTCCATCACAATATGGCCCTTTCCGTGAGCACTGTCTGCGCCGATACAACAAAATGCGCATAGGCATGGACTCTTGCAGGTCATGCATGTAAACTGCACAGGCTGATCCGGATGCGTCTCGCACACATAGTCAGAGTAACTGGTTGTTGGCTTGCTCGTCACTTCCGTGATAATATTGCAATAACCACTGCGGCCCACGCCACCGGGCCTCCGACCACACCACCCACCGGGATAGCACCCGGCGGTGTAGCCTCCGGAGCTGTAGGCTCCGGGAGAACTACCCGCTGGCTTGTCCATCAACCCGCTTCCTTCGGCGTTCGGTATGTACCGATTCTCCTCCTGCACCATAGGCTGCGCCGCAGTTATCAGCACCGGATTCCCGTGCTGGTTCGGCTGCACGCGAACCACCACGTGCTCCAGCATCCGGTATGAACCCGACTCCGACGTTCGCTGGTGGCGCTTTTCTCCGCAGGAAGGACACATGTACGCCCGACAGTCCATGCAGTAACATTGAACCTCCGACACCATCGCGCGATTACAATCCATACAGTATTTCGGCAAGGGACCCGCCTCCTGCAGCCGCTTGCTCAACTCTCCGTGGTCAAGCGGCGGATGCACCGTGTCCAAAGCCCCACCTGGCTTTCGCGCCTCGTACTTTATAAAGTCAGGAACACCGACCAATCGGTCGCAGACTGCGCAACTGAAATGCCCTTGCTGCAAATGGTTCGGGTCGGAAGCTTGGATAGCCCTATAGAGACAGGGAACGCAAATGTCATGCTTGCAGTCCATTTTCAGATATGTTTCACATGTCCTATTACACGTGCAGCACTTTATCAATCCATGATCGAGCCCACTAGTGGACGATCCCGTTGGCCTGTAGGCGTTGTCACTCAAGAACGGGTCAGAAGCTGGTTTGCTGGCCCGTGTGGGCCTTTTTTGGGCGCCGAATGAGAGCATAAATCATTCCAGCACACGCGTGTGCGAGCATAAAGCGCCGTTGAGAAGAAAAATTATTCGGCGACTCTCGCGCCTTGAAATGTCTAGAATGCATCGGGAGAGTATTCAATATCGACGGGGACCCGCTGGCCCCGGTCGCAACAGCCAAAATTGAAGAGGCCGCAAAATCCGCCGTTGGAGTCATAGGTACCGCCCATGGCTTCGTTCAGTCCGCCGCACATTCCCCGTTGCTTGCGAACGAATCTAGTCCTGTGGCCGCGGCCTCCGTAGGTTTCGGTCAATCCACTCTCCTGGGCTGAGGCATATTTGGCAGCGTAAGACTCGTTCAAAAGCGAGCTGGTGCCATTGGGTTGCTTAGCGTACGTCACTGTAGTGAAGGCGTACGGCTTTTGGTGAGGCAGCATGGATCCGACGGTGCCCGTAGCAATGGTGTTGCTGGGTGGGACGACAACGTTATGAGAAACAACGTTAGAGCTCTTCTTGATCGTCTTGTCTGGCTCGTAGCTATCATTGGGGTGCTGGTAAACAGTGGTAGAGGAGTAGCCTGCGGCAGGAATCGAGCGGCTTCCAGCCGTCTGCAGTTGTCCCAGAGAAACTCCCATAGTCTTGCTCGGCTGGGCAGGTAGACCGGAGCTCTGCTGCTGTACCGGCGGTGAGCAAGAGGTACCAGGAGATGTGTAGGCTGGAGCGTAGTTAGTAGGCGCAGGCTGAGCGCTGTAGGTGGGCACCGTGCCACTGTAGGTGGGCACCGTGCCACTGTAAGTGGGCACCGTGCCGGGAAGCGTGGGAGTCGTGCCAGTAAGCGTGGGGGCCGCAGCACTGTACGTGGGAGCCGGGCCGCTATAACTGGGGGCTGGCCCACTGTAGGTGGGGGCTGGCCCACTGTAGGTGGGGGCCGCAGCGTTGTAGATGGGGGCCGCAGCGCTGTATGTGGGGACGTCGACGGATCTACTTGGGGCGAGTGGGTTGGTGGAGGCCGCCGAAGTGGCCGCGGCCAGCCCGTAGCTAGGAGGTACTTGAACGGGTTGGCTGCTGCCGCTGGAACGGTAGTTCTGTTGAGCAAGAGCCAACGGAGATTGATGCATCATCTTTTCTCTTGTAATCAATATATAAAAAATGAACCTACGCACACTTCCGACTGCGGTATATGCCTCGAATCCCGACAGCTAGAGAGATCGCGGCAGCAGCACACACTCCCCACTTCCCCCATCGTACCTCCTGCACATCCAGCCGGACCACCTCGCTCGCTGCCTTACCCACTTTGTCTAACACCTCCACCAAGTTCGGGCAAAATTCTGCAACCTTGACTAACCCCGGACTCCGAGTCAACGGCACGTCCTCACAGATCTCCGTCGGCGTCATATACTCCAGCGAGTCCGGAACCCGACCGCTTCCGGACAACTGGCTGTCTGGCAACTGTTCCGGTAGCCGTTCGGGAAGCGACTCGCCTTGACAAGGCGACTGACCCTGACAAGGCTGACAAGGCGACTGACCCTGACAAGGCTGACCCCCACGGGAGGGGTCCGTGTCGTAAGGACGTTCATCCATTTTATGAAGCGTTTTGATGGCTAACTGGCCGCAGGCTGCCTCTACTTCCTAAAAGGTGCACAGTGATTGCGCTTTTGGTGCATGTTTAGGTGCGTGCATGGTGCATCCTGATGCGCGCGCCGCCACGCGGTGCTGTGCCGGGTTTGCTTTCGGTGGCTTTACCACCCACCTGCCGTTGCTTGAGGGCGCGGTGACATGAATATGTTCTTACTTGGCCGTGTTCCTGGCGCACGAAGGCTTGAAATCCGTGGTCGCTTTTGAGTATGTGATGGAAGCGCCAGACGGCGGTTTGGTCGGGGGGTTCGAAGTCAATGGAGACATCGGTGGGGTTGTAGGGGATAAGGTTGATGATGGCGCGGTCCTTCCAGGGTTTTAAGAGCTGGGCAAGTTCCTTTGCGCAATTCTCGCTGTCGTTTACGTTGCGGAGCATGCAGTACTCAATGAAGAGCATTTGCCGTTTGCCCTTTTTCGCGCTAAGGGCTCGTTGGTAATCGACGAACTGGAAGGCGGCCTTGAGGAGGGAGTGCAGGGGTACCTTGGTACTGGTGGGAACTATTTGGTCTCTGATTAGTTGATTGGGTGCGTGAAGGGAGAGGGCAAGGGAGACGTCTGGGACGTCGTTAATCAAATCTTCGATCAACCGAGGGTCGAATCCCACGGTGCTGAGTGTGATACGGTGGGGGGCGACGTGGTGTACTTTTTGTTCGCATAGTTGGTGGATAGAGCTAATTACGGCAGCGTAATTGGCTAACGGCTCGCCCATGCCCATGTAGACCACGTTCCGGATTGGTTCGAGGGCATTTGCGCGGACAAACTGCTCAATAATCTCGCCCGAAGTAAGGTTGCCCAACAATCCCAATGTACCAGTAGCACAGAACTTACAAGCCATGCTACAACCTACCTGGCAACTTACACACACTGTAGACCGAGTCCGTGTCGTACCCTTGCGCATGATGCATGTCTCGATCTTCAAACCATCCTGCAACTCAGTCACAAACTTGGTCGTGTCACCCTTACTCGTAGTCTCAATATGAATAACGCGACTTGTCATATGTCGCACACTTCGCTCCTCTAATACATGAGCCGCCGCACGACCCACATCCGGGCATATACCAAACCAATATGCTGCATCACACGCCCCCTCTCGGGGGGGAACCGACGCCGCCGCTACCAATAACTTCGCCCGCTTCTCTGTTGACAAGATACCCTCTACAACTAAGCCTCGCAACAGAACCTCATCGAAAACCGACTGCCACTCCAACCGCCGGCTCATCAATTTTAATCGTCCCCCCCGGGCAACATATCCCACCCAGAACAGGGACTCCGTAACCGATGTGTGGGAACCCTCGTACAGCCAGCTACAGTCAACCAGCTCCTGAAACGCCCCCGGTAGAACACACAATAAAAATCGCCCTGGTTGCCACAATGCCGTCATACAAAATCACCCGTTACAATACTCACAATAATCAGTCCAGGCAGTAAAAAGAGTGGGCGCTAGATTTAGCGGGAGCGAGCTCTCATCTTTCTGCGCTTCTTCTGGAGACGACGAGTGCGCTTCTTTTGCCACTACAAAGACCAAACAGTAAGTGAAGAGCGACCGAAGCGAGCCAGACCAAGGCAAACACTCAGCTCGGGGTGTGAGGAACGACTCCCACTGGTGGGTGAGCGCGTGAGTGACTGAGTGAGTTTTGTGGCGCTAGCTGGATAAGAACCGAAGTTGGCATCACAAGAGTGTGGTAGAAGAGGAAGGGAAGCTGCTTACCTTCCAACGCATGCGACTGCGGGATTTCTTATAACGAGAAGCTCCGTGACCCATGGTTGCTGTGGTGTCAAAAAAAGACCTTTTTCCTTTGGCTAAAGACAAAACGGACGTGAAGGATGCGAGCTCTGTGGGCCCTGTGCGGCGGCGCGCACGCTTTCACCTTCGGCCCACTAACCGAGGAACTTCTCTTCGCTGGTAACACAGCTCCCACTGAAGCTTTACGAACCATTAATTACCACTTTTCCCACCTGCACCGTATAGCTGCCCGGTGGCCTAGTTGTGGGCGTAGCTGTTTGTTCCACACCTGTGGCGGTTTTCTCCACATTTGTGTCTGTATCACACCCCTGTCTGTTTGTACCACACCTGAGTGGGTCGTGGTAAGCAACCTCCCATGCTGTAGGGCATCCCACTGGTGCCCTAGAACCGGACTTGTGCAGGAAGCCGAATGTGGACCAGCTCGTTTCTCTCTCCGACGAGCTCTTTCAAGCCAACCAGGAGTTTAGGTTACAAGAGCGTTTAAGCAAGTACTTTAAGCGGCTGAAGGATGATTCGTCTTATGGCAGCGCTGGCAGTGTTCTCGTGAAGTTGCAAGAATCTTTAGACATTCTCCAAGAGGTGTGTAAGTTCCACGAACGGGAGTCCTCGGAACTCTCGGAAAAAGGGCGCGCTGTTAAGTTTACCTTTGACCATCTTTTCTCAAAGTACGTCCACTGGACAGTCTAGCGTTTGCGGGGCAGTGAGCACGCGTGTGCTTCGTATGCATGGGTTCGTGTGCCTGAGTGTGAACCACTGTGTGTGTATGACCTGTGTGTATACCACCCTGCTTGTATAATACCCGTTGTGTGTACAACCCAGCGGGTGCACAAGCCTGGCGGTAGGTTTGACCATGAAGGTTACCATTCTCTGGTGTCGGCGGTGATGACTGAAACGCAGGCGGTGCGGTTCCAGGAGGGCGTGAGTAAGTTGGAGAACATTCTGCCGCACTGCGACGGCGGGGCTTCGGTCGTGGCGGCGGCGTCCACAGGTAGTGGCGTACAGTGGCCGGGCGGACCGTTCCGGCTGAACTTCGGCTTCAACTTATCCAAATGGATTAGCGAGCAGGTCTTGTCTACGGCGCAAAATGCGGCCTCCTCAGCGGGACCCTCGGGGCAAATGATGAGCATGATGGCCGTCATGTCCGTTCTCTCCATTATCGAAACTGTCGTCGGCATAGTCGTCGACATCGTCCCCCCTATGATCCCGCCGCCCTTCTGGATTTTGTGGTCACTGCCCTGCCTCCCCATGCTCACCGGCGCCAACTGTCTCTTCTCCGTCCTCTACCCCGTCTCCCTCTCCGACTTCATGCTCGCACCCACCACCGACCAACAGATGGACGGCGCCCTCCTCTCCTTCCCCTCCAAATACAAACAGAAGGTCGGCACCACCTCAGACGCCGCCTACAAACTCTGCGCCAGTACTCAA